ACTGCAGGAGAACATGCCTGAGTGGAGAAAACTAACAAATTATCAAGGAGTGGAGAACGGACATGTACTTTCTAGCTGGCAGGTGTGCTAGAGCTAATAAATAATCTCTCTAGTTATCATGTCCATCACAGAGATCAGGATATGCAAAAGAAAGGATCCACCATGCCTCCCATGCACTTGAGGCAGTAGCACTGTTCAGCTGTGTTCCAGTCAGGCAGAGCCCCAGCAGCATTGACAGTGGGGCCTGGCACAGACCTGAGGATAAGGTCCTGTGTCCTGCTGGGCACAAAGCCAAACAAGGACAGAGAACCTGGAGATAAGGGAAATATTTTTCTCCATAGGAGAAGCCACAGCTGGCTGTATGGCCTGGGAGGTGGTGCTCTCTCCCTCCTTGGAGGGTTTCCAGCCCCCATGGGACAGTGCTCTGAAACCTGGTATGATTCTGTGGCTGAGCCAGGTGGAGGGGGGTAGAGCACAGACCTCCTGAGGTCACTGCTGGCCTTAAGGATTGTACACTGATTCAGTGTTCTCAATTACTCCTCAAAACAGAGGATATCAGAATGTTAGAGAGGATTCCTGGAAGACCTGATTAAGGATGAATTAAGTAACTGGAAAAGGTGCAGTGCAGAGGAAGGTTTTAGGGATCTCAATCTTTTTACCTTATTAGAAGCAGGTTAGTGGATGCATTGATCACTTGTTCTTAAACACGACTTAGGAAGCACAAACCTGGTAACTGAGGGCTCTTCAGTCTGCCAGAAGTTACAACTTCTCAGTGACTGAGACAGAATAAAAGCTACAGAAAGAAAAAAGTATGGACATTTATAAAAATTAATATAATTAAGTCAGGATTTGTGACAATCCTCTGGTCTCAACAGAATGTAGGTAAGCTCAGTTACAATATTTGATCCTTTTATTCTGAGAACCTAAATAACTCTTTGTTTTTTTTTTAATAGTAAACGTGGGTCAGAGGTTTTATTCTAACCAAAAAAATTAGAAAATATATATATTAACCATTGGGTAATGAAGAGACAAAAATAAAGTCTAGGAAGAGAGCTTATGGAGGGAAAGAAACCTAAGTCAAAAGGAAACCAAGGTATGGAATTGTACAGGCGACAACTATAAACTGGCATAATACAGAAGATTGAAAAAAGAGATACTTGCACTAATTCAGTTCATTCTGTCTTTGTCATGACAGGTCTGTAGAGTTATCAAAAATTCACATGCCCAGCAAATCAGGCATTATGTCTATAACTTTGCAGCATACACGGAGAAGGAAGATTATGTGGAGCAGGAACGAACAGTCTTTGTGTTGAGAAGGTGGTGTCCCACTAGTACTACTATTGGGCAGTACCGTTAGGAGCTGTCAAGGCATAATAACAGCATGGCCAATGCTGATGCACAGGCAGAGCAGTCCTTTATTGTGTTCTGGACCCAAACCAATGTTGAACAGGGAAGAAATGTGCCTTACAGTTCCATAACAAGTGGATGGAAAGGCAAATCAGAAGGTTAGATAAATGTCAGACAATAATAACAGCCTGTACATGGTTAATATTTATTTTTAAGTACAAACACAACAGAAAAGAGCAATGATTAGCTGAAAATGCAGCAAGAATACTGTTAGGCATAAAACACAGGTGTTCGAGAGAAATGTCATAAGTAATGAGTAATTTCAATATTGTTTGCAAGTCTGGTGCTGAGCTAAAAGCAGAAGCTACAGTCAGAACTTGCCCTAATACCAGAGTGACATTAAGAACATATTATACAGAGTTTTCAATGTGGTCGGATTCACTCTTCTTTAAAGGACACAGAAAATAACTAGAAAACCTTTCTCTTTGTATTACAACCAATGTTGGCTGGTGCTTTAGTTAGGGGTGTTTGTGTGGTGAGTGAAGAGCTTTGGCAAAGGAAAAGGTAAAACTGCTTAAAAAAAAATTAGAGTTGGCAAAGAAGTTTGAGGATGCCTTCCAGGATTTGAAACTGCCTTTTGTAACACTTACAAAGCCAAGTGGCAAGATTAATTTTATCTAAAAACTGTACTACATTTGAAGTCCCTCTTTTCCACTAACATTTTTCTGTTTCCTAAGTGCAGCATGGCAGGCAGTATGGTGCCAGTACATGTCTCGCCATGTAAAGGGTCAGGGTAAGGTTTCTAGGAAAAAGCCAGGCAACAAGGAGCCTGCCATATGAACAAGCTCTGCCCTCTCCTCTATAAGCATATGCTCGCAACCACCCCAATTATCTTTGATGAAATGGGTTTGGGATCAGCTGGGTTCTTCAACATCAAAAACCTGAAAGGAATCAAATTTTTAAAATTACAGAGTATAAGCATAATTTGTCACTGAATGAAAAATGCAATCTGAATTATAAGAGCAAGTTATAATTTCTTTCTGGCATCATCCCTCCAAGGCTACTCTATCACACTGCTGTTGGACTATGTGATGGAAAAGTCAGAAAACTTAGTTTGGAAAAGACCTCTGAGATCATGTCATCCAACTTTTGACTGATCATCACCTTGTCACCCAGACACCATTGCCCAATCGTTTCGTGATCATCTTCACAGATGATGACTCCACCACCTCCCTGGGCAGCCCATTCCAATTTTTAACAAACCTTTCTGTGAAGAAACTTATCCTGGTGTCCAGAATTCCTTCTGATGTCCTGATGTCCACATTCAATACCAAGAATCCTTCTTCTGCAAAAGTTCAAGAACCTTGCCTATCATCAGCAATGCTTCTTCCAGCAAAGTGCACTGAATCACCACAATATGCTTTCTTGATAACTGATCTGCAGATTTTATTTGTAAGTCAATGAAGAGCCCAAGTTCTGTTTAATTGCTGCATTTTTATTTATATTAATTCAATGCATTTTAAAGGCTGCTGTGGTAGGAATTAAAAGATTGTTAGAGTACTGAACATTTCTCCTTTAGGCTGACAAAAACAATCTGTCACTTAACCTGACAGCAATGAAAGACAGTGAATGAATCACTGCTTGAGGAAACCTATTTTTTTAGTCACTGTGTCATTGTTATTTATTACTTATCAGCACATGCTGTTAGTTCAATTAAATACAAAAACCTAAAGTTCTCTTCCAGTCTTCTTCCCTTCTCAATTTTTAAAAGCACACAACAAACCAGAAAAGTATTACTAGAATCTGCAGTGCTAAGGATGGACCCTTTAGGTTGATTGTGCTTCTCTTGTTTTAATTAAACTTTGTTTATTAAACTTCTGCAGCTAAATGGGGATTATTAATCTTATTCAGTAATTAAAAATATTGGTAGAGAGAGGACAAAAAAAAGAAATTAATATTAAGATAAAGTGTTGATTGCAACATTTTACCAATAAAAATACAGGGAGCTGCAAAGAGCAAATATTTTCTCCCACCTGCTTACAAAGGAGTAAGAAATAAAAGTTCCTAATTTTTGTGTATGTGCATGTATGTCATTTAGAATGTTAGTAGTAAATGTATCTGCCATTTCACAACATAATCACAGATGTATAAAACCAACTATAATCAGTTCAGTACCATCTTTCCTCCTGCTTTTTGTTTCCTGTGTTCTTTATTTGAGACATGATGAGAACAGAATTTTTGTTCCTCGTGAGAGGATTCTCTGTTCTTTGCTTAATGTTACAATTAACATGAAAAGACTTTCTCATTAATAATTCAAATATAAAAGGTAAAATAAGTAAGTGTGAAACCTTCTGGTCTGAAGACCAAAACTGGCACCAAACTGACATTTGTAGATCTGCTTAGGAAGTACCATTGCTGAAGTAACAATAAATTAGAATTACTGTACCCAAAACCATTTTAGAAGATTAAAGGGATAGTCTGAATCGCAATTCCAACTAGGGTTACACATCAGCTGTGTCAAACAATGCCTATTAATTCCTGACTCTGATTCCAGCTTGCAATGATAAGCATGTATTATATCCCAACAATTTCAGGGGCTGCCATTCATCACTGGCCCTCACTTCAGGTAAATTCATTCATTTTGGACAGTTGATATTTAGTGAAAAATACTGGCAACACTACCTTTCTTCTGCAGCAAGCAGAGGTATAATTAGGGGCCCAGGGGTTCCTTGTTCTCACCTTTTTTTCTTCTGTTTGGCTTCCCAATATAAATTTTAGCGTTAAGTGGCAGTGAAGGAATATATTTTTTGCAAAAAAATGGTCCACTGAAAAGTGTTTCAGGCATTTACATTTTTGACATGCAATTCTTTTAATGAGACAATAAAAATCTTAGTTAACTTCATTCTCAGTTGTTAGGCAGACAATGTTTTTATTACAACATCCCAAATCAGAAAAAGTAGAAGGAACAGGATTCACCAGGCTGTACCCTACCCAGCAAAACAGGCAGAGATGCCTGCAGAGCCTCACTACTTATGCTAAGGACACAAGATGCATCAACCAGAAATTCAGTAAAACCATCATCTACCAATCCCAGTAGATAGTTTGTGTCACCAAAGGAGAGTAATTTACTTATGACAAATATCACTATGACAAGATATGTATGGAGGCATTCTTCATGAACAATGAAAACACAGAAATTCTCTCCATGTTCTCTACTGCAAAGCAGATATTACATCTATTTTTTTGAAAAGAATATGCAGATTAGTTTAGCAAGTAAGGAAACTCCACTATTATGTGATCTAATGCTAATATTTGGTAGGAAGAGACATATTTGAATGGTCTAATCCTGATACCTGACTCTCACTGATAGGGGCTCTCAAATAATGTGAAAAAGTAAGGCTCAGTAATTTAAAGGAAATTCATATTGCCTAAATAAGGTCCTGCTATAGTAAATGCTGCCTATTTTAACTTCCTTGCAACAGCAACAGCTTTTCAATATTTCAATACAAATATATATTCCATAAGAAACCCGTTTCTTTAAAATACCCTTTTCTCACCCATTTTAAGAAGGTAATATATTAATAGAATTTTTTAGATCAGTTAAATGTTTAAAAGGTTTAGTAGAAACTGAGGATAGAAAAGATATTACCCACCTTTACAGTGACAGGAGGTGACTTCAGTTTATTTTCCAATACTGCATCCACTTGAGCTCCAGTATACCTCTATGTCAATGTCCTGAGGCCTGGAAAGCAAGTTGGAGAAGATACCAAAAAATGCATCTCAATTTTATTTGGGATATAGAGCAAATTGCTTCATAAAATGACAGTTTAAGGAGTGCCATATCTGTAGCAAAGCAATCTTACATCCTATAGTGACGACATGTGAACTGGTGCAGTCAAAGAAACAGGGGACTAATGCAGAAGCACCGGGATATGCAGTGAAACTGGGACATGCTCTGTATAGAAAATGCCCCTTTACGAAGAAAAAATGCTACAGGTTGCTAAATATTGATGAAGAGCAACCTACCTGTCCCCAGTTCCAGCAAACTGGGTTAGTGCATCCTAGGTGTAAGGAGTCATGCCATGACTGAAGTAACCAGGTCTCAGCCTTTCCACTCATCTCATGACAACAAGAGCATCACTTCATCCTTCAACCTTTCAATTTTTTATCAAAGCACACAGATAATAAAGTTTCTTTGCTCCTATACTATATTTGTCTAAATTGCAAGTCATCCCCCTTTACTATTCGGCTCCCATTCACTTTATTATGTAGGGAAAAGTACTGCTTACAAGTTGTTTGGGCTCTGCTTAGTACATTACTGCTCAAAACAGACATTGTTAAAGCAACACAGCCCCCTAGTGTGGATGTAATACAAAAGTTTAATTCACATACAATTAGGAGGCACTAACTTTCACCAGACTACAGGTAGTAACAATTACAGACTTCAACTAAAAGCCTCTAACCAAGCAACAACACCAACAAAAAACCCAAAACCCTACACACAGAAAAACTGCACCAGCCAATAATCAAGAATTTAGATTTAAAAAAAATTTACTAGATTAGATAGTTTATATTTGGAACGGCTCATCTAGCATTTTTGAGTGAAGATCTACATGCTTTCAGAAAGATGGAATGAAGTCATGGCCCTTAATTCTGATGCCTCATATCTTAAGAACTGGAAGAACGTGGGGTATCAGTTATGTAATATAGTCCAGCATCATTCAGCAGCTGGACTTTCATTAATCATTCTGTTGTGCCAACACAGCAAATTCAATCAGAATGGTGCCCCAGGTTAGAAGCAGATAGGCAGGATTCCCTATGAAATGAGTGAATGAGTTTCCTGATGTGGTTCTGTACATATCCACATAAACACTAGCTGCACAACAGCAGGGAGGGGACCAGAGACAGCCTGGGAATAAGCAAACCAAAATGAATACATAGTTCCTCACCAGCACTCATACTCAGCTTAAATGTCTTTCCCAGTATTCTGTTTCTGCCTGCCTTGAAGGCTAGGTTCAACATGCTTAGATTAAAACTCTTTCCTAGCTGTGGCTCATGTCCTGTGCTCTTCTGGAGACCTTGGAAGACTTCTCCTTCATCTGTTCCACTCCCAGTAGATACACCTTCAATACAGCTGTGCAGAGCTGCACACAGTATTCCAGTGAAGTAAAGCTGAGAATTCTTAAGTAAAGTAAGATTGACTGGAATCTGGAAACACAAGATGGAATGCAAGGCTTTAGATTAGACAAGTCATGGCTTTGTGGAACCATTAGATACAAAAGACAAAAAATCAATTTTGAGATTGACAATAATCAGTGAACCCACAGACAAAAAATAACATTTACACACTGTTTAAAAAAATGATGATGACATGAATGAACAAACGAACATGTCCCATTTTCTGGTTATTTTTGGTTTGGGGTTTCATGTTTAATAAATGTGCTGTATAATGCAATAGCGTGTAATATTTAGATTTAAACTTTTGGGATCTTCCTTCCCTGACTACACAGTCAGCCTGATTAAGTGGTATGTGGCTAACCCTTCCTACAAGCAGGAGATCTTTTCTTTTACACCTTTTATGTATTATTTGGCAATATTTTGGCAATATTAATGCCAAAAAGGCCCATGAAAAATGAGATTTCACACCCTTCCCCACAAAACTAAGTATTTAGACATCTATATTTTGCCACAAATAAGGTGAACAATTTTTTTTCTTCCTTACATATATTGCACATTGACTTAGCAATAAACATGAAGGTTTACATTACTGGGATTAAATTGCAGGGCTTTATAACCAGGTTTTAATTTGGTGCCTATGCCCTAAAGTAATGCTGTTCTTATGTTTCTGGATCAATTAACCACCTCATCTCCCTTCCTGACTAAAGGGCTTATTTCACAATTAATCTTCAATTATCTTCTGTGAAAAGGGCATATTTACCAGCGTCAGTGATCTTGTAAAGCTAAATCAGTGTTTATAATTTTAAGATAGGCAGAAAAAATGCCATATAATAATTTACTCTGCACTCATGTGCATAGAGCTGCTTTCTTCAGTTTCCTTTCAGTTGCTTCTTTCTTGATTTAGAGAATGCTTTAGCCACAGAAGGAAAAAAGAGTAACTTTAGTTACAGTAACTGCTTTTGTAAACTAATTTTTTTTAAAAAGTAGTAGTAACCAAGCAACCATATAGAAACCTTAAAGCTGACATTGTACTGTATCAGCTGGTGAAAAGACATTTTGTCCCACTACAAGGTACCCTGAGATGGCTGCTGTTTTTGAAACTGTGCTCCATTAAACACAGACAAGGCCGCAGTGAAGTGCTATCCAGCTGACTCTTTTGGCAAGACTCACAATGCAGTGCTGAACTGCTCATGTTTCAGGCGGCGTTTCAACAGTATCCAGTTAGAACAGCAGCATCTTATATCCCCTACACAGATTATCCGACTCCGTTTTTTCAAATACACTTAGAAACAACCTGTAGTTACCTGTGATCAAAATTTCATTTACTACAATTAACAATTATAGTAATTTCAAACAGTAAAGAACATATTTTATAAAATAGCTTAAAGAAAGTTATGTTACTAAGTCTCTTAGGCAAAATACTTTTGAGAGTAAATTCTATATTGAAAAGTGTTACAAGGGGAACACTAGTTCTTTTCTGTGGAAATTCTATTTCTGTGGAAATATTTGTGATTCACCTCTCAAAACTGACATCTTGCTATCTATTTATTATTCTCTATAAAATCACTATAACAGCAAAGCCTCCAAACAGAGATAAATGCTTTTGGCTCTCTTTGGAGTCATACCTTGTTATTTATCTGGTACACACCCAATCAACCCTCCTCCTCCTCAAAAAATCCATGAGGACAGCCAAAACTTTTTAGAAAATATTGTTGCTGCTGTCCAAAATACAATCAAGATCATGCTGACCAACTCCCAGTGCTTAATATTTATTTCCTGAAAAAATGCTTGATCAAAGCCCAGTAACACTATTTCAATGTTTCATAAAAAATTCAATATATTCTACATACAAATTGCCTCTTCTTCCAAATGAAATAATAAATTTATTTTTCAAGGAAAAATCACAGACATATTTAAAAGTGAAAAACGAAACAGCTATATAATAAATATTTTAAATACACTGAATATTTTTCTCTTCAGTGATACAAATCAATGCAAGAACACATGAAATTTAGCTGATTTGTTTTTAAACTAAGCAGCAACAGTACAATATCCTAAAAAAGAATTAGCACTTGTGTAACCAATCACATTAAGTATCTCATATGATTTTTTTTTTATTTTATTTTTGTAAACAGCTTAATTGAATTTTCTTGGAATACTTCTCATCTTTTAATTTTGAATTTAATTAGTCTGCAATTACAAATCTTCTCTGTCATATGCATAGTAAACCTGTTTCATCTCTGTCACACTACATGCTAAAGTTAGCACTTGCAACTTTATATAGAGCTTGAAATAACCTTTAACAGTTCAACATGCTATAAAAAAAAATTTTAAGGGTGACCTGGGAAACCAGAAGGAAAATAGCAAGTACCATACACCTCCTGAAAGTAGTCAGTAGAAGGCAATTACATTCTAGTTTATCATTACTTCTAGCAGTGTTTTTGTGTTGCCAAACAACTGAAGTGTGTTGCTTTGCAACTTCACTGAATAAACCTTATACATATGGCTTCTCCTGGTGACACAGGAAATGCCCTTGCAAGCAAGCTTTTCACTTCCACCACAGCAGGCAAGGTGAAGTATTTGGTGCCTTAATGACCTAAGTACAGCAGCACTAAAATATATCTTTGAAATCTAACATAGCTCCACCAGCCTATCAGCACATATAAGTTTTGCCAGATGTCTTTCTTGATTACTTCTTTAGTTTCTCTCTACTCAAATATAACACAAGTTGACCAAACAGCTAAATTAAATCAATCAAAGACAACACCCACAAATTTTGAGACAGTAAATCTACCTTTTGAATTGTGTGTATGTATTTTAACTTACATCCTCCATTTGCTACAAAATAATCGAAAAAATGTTGAGGCTGTTGATAACACTAGAGTTAGGTACACTTTACCCAGGTCACTGACATCACTTAGTGGATGCACACTGTAATTTTCTCAGATGTATTTAATGAAAGTTTTAGTTTATTATCAAATTTACACTGCACTAGCATTTTACAATAATGCTGATTCTAGAAGAAATCAATCATACTCAAGAAATATACAAGAAGCTTGCTACAGAAAAGGGTTTAAAAGGAAATAGGAAAAAAGAAAGGGAATAAAGAGAAGAAAAGGGATAAAATGGAAGAATAAAAAGAAAACTATAAACCTTAAAAGAATTCAAGACATAATATCTGAATAGACTAAAGTTTGCAGTAATACTACACAATCGTAGGGGAAATTATCTCTGCTACTGTTGCAAAGTATGTAACCAGTTTTCTAAGTAACTACCAAGGAAAATTCATGAAAAAAAATACATAATACATTATTTTACTTAACAAAGACTATAATTGTAAACTTCATACCTTTAAAGAAAAAAATTGGTATCTGCATGTGTAAACAAACACACAAATATTTTAACATGCTTTGATTAGCAGCCAGATATAAAAACAGCACTAATTCTAAAAAAAATTAAAATTACTTTAATTGTTGTAAGATATTATAGCATGAAAATTAATTCTAAAATTCAATTTATTTCTAAAGGAATGCCATGAAGTGGATAAAAATAGAATTTATATTTTAAAACCTCATAAATCAAATGCCTTTTCTAAAAAAGCATACTGAAATTAGGTGGATTTTTCTACTTTCAGGGGACATGAAACAATTCATCAGCTGAATGCTAAAAGTTCAAGGTCTTCTGAATGGTCTGATTTGCTAAATATTGTACCAAATATTCAAAAGAAAAGCTTTACAGTTAGGAAGAAACTCTGCTTTCTTCAGTTACAATACAAAAGATAAGAGTGGACAAAACTACATGGCAGTGTAAACTCTGCTCTGTCTCTTTCAGGCACTTTCATAGCTCTGAAAATAACATGTTCAACTGTTTATTTATAAGTTAAAAATTGTTCCTTTTATGAATTCAATTTTTAAAAAATGAGTATGCTTTTAAGCAAATCATCACATTTTAATTAGAATACCTACATTATGATGAGATGGGCCCCAAGAAGAATTAAGCAGTCTCAAATCCCTTCCAACTGCAACCATTCTATGATTCTAAGTTTCTACAACAACCTTTTTGGAAGGACCAGGTTCCTGGCACAGCTCTGTATGTATTGTGACTCCTTAAGGAGGTGACCCAGCACAAGGACACCATCTCAGGGGAACATCAGCATGTCTGTGCATGTCATGGAAGCAGCACACTGAAGGCAACAAAACCACTGGACCACAGGTCAGTATACACAGCACAGTCTGAATGAGGAATGTCATACCCAACCCAAACATACTATAGCACTGAAGAGAAACAGACATCACCTTCTTCAAAACATACAGTGAAAACGAAAGCTGAACAGTCTCAGGGATGTTTTTTTACATCACCAGCTTTCATCAGAGCCTTAATAGCTCTGGCTCTCATCTCGAGTTCCAGAAGCTCCAGCTGTTGTGCTGATGGCTGAACATCTTCTGATGGAGGAACAGCTGAAGTTGCTGCCTTGGGCTCCTTCGGGCTGGACTCTGCCAGCCCCAGTATCTCATTCACACTCTTCTCAATGTCCTTCTGAAGGTCATCTATCTGACCAGCTCCACTTCTGACAGTGCTCTCTTGCACATCTGGGCCATCCTCTTCATTGCATGGGCCTTCTATATCACTATCATATGCATCTGCATTTATGCTGAGGACATCACTATCTTCTCCCTTGCCTGAAACACAAACACAACTATCACAGAGTTGCCTAACAGGACTGTTTTTACCTCAACTTACAAAATCACTTCTGCTTAAAGTGTTACTGTTCAAATTAAAAGAGTGAAAAAAATCTACAAGATAACCAATTCCTCTTCTTTTTCTCCTCCAACTTTTAAAGCTAGTTTATAATACATTTTTATGCCAATCTAAAAGAACATGCAGTACGGCAAAGCAGCAGTACCAGAAAAATGTATTCCCCCTATGAAGTTACATGATCTCTTTTCCTGAGTTGCCACAGAATTTTATATTAAAGAAAGCTTTTGCAGTACAAAACCGATTTTTGTTTATTTTTTAAAGCAAACCTAATTTTCAGAATGCAACTTCAAAAATTATGCTCAACTATCTTATGTATTTTAAGAGGAGTGGGACTATAGTGTGATGCAACACTAAAAATTAATAGAAACTCTAATGCTTGTATTGCAACTACTCAGATTTTATCACTAGTCTTCCAAATGTATTCAACACAGATGTAAAAGCATGGAAAAGTTTATTATTTTGGTTTTTAATTGTGGGTTGAAGTTGTAGTTTATTTTTAAAAACATAATTAGAAGAAGCAGCCAAATAAAATAAAAGCAAAGCTCTAACAGAACCTGATTAATTGTTCTCTCAATTTAGCTACAACAAGACTTGCTTCTGTCACACTGGCCTCAGAAGCTCATACTCTTTCAACAGCTTTTGTAAATGTGGAATCTTAGAGCAGGATTGGTTATAGCTTTATATAAATAATGTAAATGTACTCAGATGATGGAAAAGTTACTGATTATACAGACTTTATATTACTTTTTATTACTTTTGGTAATACCATTTTTATCACTTGCACAAGAAAAACAAGGGTTTATAAAAATGTTACACTTTTTTAACATTTTAATATGCTCTATGGTACCTGTATGCACCTGGTATTAATACACGAAAAGTGCCCAAAAACCTTAGGAAGATCTGTTTTTCTTGGGGGTTACAAGGTTGTCCCATCCAGAGGGTGTGGAAAACAAAATCAATACTGACTACTTTGAAAGCCATAAATGTAATTTCTCTACTTAAAAAACAAAGAGAGGGAGCAAAGGAGGATTAAAAAATCTCAAAATGGTTTTATAAACAACAGTAATGTTTTAAAACATTAGGGTTTTGTTGATTCATCATTGAAAATTTTTTGTACTACAGATACTTAATTCAGTTACTTGCTCCTGATCACTCTGTATCAGGCTATGACTGTCACAGCATTTAAGTTCAGATTTAAGAATGCACACTCACTCTGAGAATGCACTCACATACACAGCTAAGGTATGTGGCATCTCAAAAATTCCAAACAAAGCCAACAGGAAAGCAAATTCAGCTCAAGAAAATGTATGTTAAGACATATAAAAAAAAAATTTACAGATAACTTTTTACCATTTTTTCTTTTTGCAAGATAAATCACAATTTTGAAGTAATAAAATATGAAAGCCTAAAATATAAACAAAGCTACAAAAAAAAATCCTCCTCACAGCAATGTGTATAAAAATGACTCATGAAATGAACATACAAGGGTTGTCTTTGATTCTAAGTAGTTTGGCCTGTTTCTACTGTGACAGTTCTACTGTGACAGTAACTTCAAGATTAATACTGACATTTCATAAGCAGTTTCCCCTATTTCACATACCAATTTAGTCATCTTTGAACAATATCTTTCTAACTTTACCTTGCAAGCCACAACCTATATGAAAGATCAGACCATTTTTTTCAATGGGAATAAACAGGACTAAGAAATTATAATTTTTCTGTCTTGCTTCATAGCATCAGTCAGTATTTACCTATCATGCCGGTCAACCAAGCAGCATTTACATGGATCAAAAAATCAGCTGCATCACTGGATCACAGGTTAAAGCCTGAAACTCAACATCTGAGCCTGCTCATCCTAACTCACTTCCAAAGTTAAACTGTCCTGTACTGATTCTGGCTGGGATAGAGTTAATTTTCTTCACAGAAGAGTGCATGATGCTGCTTTTGGATTTGTTTCTGAAGCAGTGTTGATAACACACCAGTTTGGCTACTGCTGACTAGTGCTTGCACAGCCTCAGGGCTTTCTGTTTCTCACTCTGACCCCACAGAGAGTAAACTGGGGGCGTGCAAGAGGCTGGGAGGGAAACAGCCAGGAGCAGCTGAGATAAACTGACCTAAGGGATATGCTCCACCATACAACACCGGCATCTGCCTTCCCAAGTAAATGTCATGCACGCTGAGTCCTCTGCTTTCCAGGAAGAGGCAAATAATCTTTCTGCCAATGGGAGACTGTCACTAAGTCTCTAATTTTGCTTTATTTCAATGTACAGTATTGCTTCACTTAGTGAAGAATCTTCATGTTGACTCTTGCCACCTTTACCCCACTGGGGGACAAGTAATTCAGGGCTAGGGATGCGCCTACTGCTGGCTGGAGTCAACCAGCAGTTGACAAAGAACCATTGGATTCTTTTTGGAATCAATTGGTCACATTAAGAAGGAACAAAATATTACGTAATTCATGTCTGTCCCAGACTTATTAAGGATGAGAAGCTGGGCAAAACAACCTTGAGTTCTATTTAGAAATTGGAACATCCAAATCTATGTAATTCAGTGTTCATACAAGCTTTTTGGCCGACAGATGTTTAATGAGCTAATAGGCTTTATTTCCCTCTTTTGCACCTGTGTTTTTACAGCAATAAGGATCATTCCTGGCATTTCTCATTATCTTTTTCTTTTTGGTAACTTTTAATTTTTACTTCATCTACAGTTGCAAAATTCATTTTAGCACACTAAGTTCCATTTTCAAATTTTATTTTATCCACTTTTGCTTATTCTCTAATTCTCTCTTCTTTTTCGCACAGCTTCTCAGGCTGCAGTGAAGGAGAATGACTACACAATATTCTCTAAAGTTCTTTAAAGCTAAAACCTTGAGTGGAGCCACTGTTACAGCCCAAAGCCATCATGATACTCTGGTTAAGTCATAAAAAACAATTATATCACTTGCAACAGGTGTCAATTCCCTTTGATAACACAGACATGCAGGAAATCTGCAGGAAATTTGTCAGTTCTAAGGTTCCACCATATAGTACAGCAAACAACATTTAAAAGATTATTCACAGTCATAGCAACTCACTCCTAAGAGTTTTGATGCTGTTATTATGTTTGACTCTATGACTCCTTCCTTTCCCATTTAACCCTTCTCACTAAGCAATTCAGAAAAGAAACAAGTTTCACAAAGTCATTCCAAGAGAAATCTTTTAGGCAGCATTCTGAATTGTGAAATAGCAGTTGCAAAGAAGCAAGTTAGATCTTTGCTGAAGAGAAATGTAGCTCAGAAGAATTTGCAACATTCTTTTATTGGAAAAGCTGTTTCTGATCTTTCTGCTTAGAGACAGTAAAAATGAAAATAAACAGACTGAGACAGAAACATCTATAGTTCTAATGCTTCATGCACAAACTAACATTGGCAATTGTATGTGCCAATTTAATGACTGAATAAAACAAATACTACTGCAGGCTAAAAATACTGCTTTCTTGTGTAGAAAGTACAAATGTGCACCAATAACTTACTTATCTTTGCATTTTCTATCCTGCCAATCACTGTAGTACTTGAATGTCTCACAAGCTGCATTTTTGCATTTAAGAAGAGAAAGTACACAAGACAAAATATTCTTTCTCAATGAATGTTCATTCCATGTTCACAAGAGACCTGTCAGTTACCTGGAATTAGTCACTGGCCAACATCGAGAGCACAAAATTTCAGCTTTCTCTACTACATACCTTGTTTTGATTCCTGACCTTCCAGCTTGCTGTCTTCTCTCAGAGAAGAAGTTGAGTCTACACTGTTATCCTGTCTGGAAATAATTAAGAACACATTTTAATCACCGTAATTTAACATTTAAGAGAACATTTTTAAGAAACTGAAAAATTTATTAGCTGGTAGGCCAGTAAGCCAGCTACAGTAGGACTAAGGGGAGAAGGAATACACAGAGAGCTAATCTGAGCACTTGAAAATGAACTTTTTTTGTTTTGCTTTGTGATACACAAGGATAAAGCAATTACTTCCACTACATCCTTGCATTTCAGAGTAACAATCCTCAATGGTTTTAACTGAGGAACTACAGATGAGCAGTTATAAAGGAAAAGCTCCTCATATTAGGAGTTTTCTAAAACTCAAATTGTCATATAATTAAATGGTTAAGGAAAACAATAGTTTCTGCTGCACTCAAATACTATTTACTGTCTTATTTTGAAAGTAAAAAGATATTTTCATGAAATCATCATCAGCCCATCACCAACCTCTCCTAAATCAGAATCTTCTTGTTTCACAAAGGGATACTTTTTAAAATGAAACTGTTTACAACTCAGCTATTACAGTGTATTCAGTACCTGCGTTTCTCCATTTCTCCTATTTAAAGACTTATACCCTTGACGTGTAGAGTTTCAACCCTTTACACAAGGGTAAGGAAGAGACTTCAGTGAAATGTTAATGTCCATCACATACTTCACACATACTAGTTACACAAACTGTGAAAATAAGGTAAAATACAGGAAGGGCACAGGTGTAAGGATCCAGAATCACAGGAAGAGTTCAGCTGTCACATCCTGTAAGCATTTTGACAACAGAATATCCAAATTCCTAAACTGAATGTTGGTGTGGCATTGGTTTAATCTGTATTAATATGGAATCCATGCAGCTCTCCTGCCCATGGAAGCTTAACAACACCATAAAAAGGAAGCACTATTCCGGTATCACAGATGTAAATATAACGACTAACTTGTTTTTCAGTAATAGTTTTTAGGGTTTTCCTGAAAGTGAAGACATATCTATTGTCCTCATGCTCTACAAGTTGGGTTTTTCCCATGTGTCTAATGGTTTTATCAGGAGGAGGAACAGTTTTGGCCATCGTGGCCCGAGAGTAAGTTATTTTCATTTCTGTTTGCTTTTCTGAAGTGGCAAGGCTACATCAACAGACTCTCCTTTTTCTCCCACTTTTTTATAACCATTGGAAAATAAATATGTAAAGTATCATGCCATAGCTCATTAAGGAGAATAAACAGGTCAATACACTTGCCTAGCAAAGCCCTGGACATGGACCAACAGTCCATTTATTAAAGCACATCGCTATACTAACTACTTTTCCAAACAAGATGAGAACAATCTAAATATGCCCACACGTGTGCCAGCAACTGCATAGGGAACCACATATCAGAAGGGCCTACAGGACTGTGCTGCAAGAAATCAGACAGAATGAAAAATGTATACTTTCTCCAGGATTTTCAGTGTCATGCAGCTCTAATTAGATGCTTCTAATTCACCAGCAAACCTCAAGCTACTCTAGACAACAAGCATGATGTGTGGTCTGGGACTAAGGTATCAAATAGACTGCAAGATCAGAGGTCAAATTCCAAAAACAGATGAGGTTCTGCAAGTAAGAAGAGGGGACCATAACAGAGAACTAGATACCTCAGAGATTAACAGCATCAGCTACTGGGGACAATCACAGGCCTGCACCTGCCATCAGAGAAGCCTGCATGCACAAGGAGGTCTGAGCAGCAACTACAGCAAGGATACAAATCTTGCAGACTTCTGTGCCAGCAGCCAGGGAGAGATGTGGATTTCGGACCAGGTACCGGTCAGCAGATGTGGATGGAACCACCTGTTTTTTTGGCTTGCTTGCTTTCTTTCTTTTTTTAAAGCAACTCCTAACAATTTGTTATATTTAATTACTTGACTCTTGACCAAAATTAGGTTGTGATATACCCTGATCATCACTAAGAGCAGAAGCAGCTTAGGCTGCCCTTGTCCCATCCTCCTTCACACACATACTTCGCCATTTTGAACTCTGTAGTCATGGCTGCACAGGACAGCAGTGTCACTTGAAAAAGCCTGATCTTGCACCAGGAGTATCCAGACAATGTATTTAACAACTCTGGTATCACCTTGATGTTTGATGAGGAATTGTAATCATCACTGAGAGAAAACTCAGTGACCTCTATAGTTCAAACATTGACTGTGAAACTATCCACAACCATTTTAACAGCCATGTAAAAGAAATTACCAATCTTAAAAAAATCACACAAGGAAACTTGTAAAGTTTTCTCCTGATGCCTTGACTTTAACAATTACAGAAAACCCACACTCCTTTAGAAATTACCTACTATCAGCAAAAGAATTTTTAGGACACAGAAGTACTTCTACAGCATATCTTACTCCCTCAGAACTGATTGGATTGGACTCCATTGCTTCATGGCTTTCTTTCATAGGCAGGCATTCTGCACCATCTACTGGCCCGAAAGATGCATTTTAAGTTCTCTGTTCAGTTTGGCTTTCACCTTGTTAGCCGTGTTTTATTTATTTGCTAGTGAGAAACAATTTTTCCCTAATTACCTGTACAGTGGTATACATTTAAGAAAGGGTAGCACAATACCATGCCTTCAAACAATGGCAGCAGAAGGCATGTTATTCTAAAATATCTCTTCTTTCATGCTATGCTGGCAAATGACAATAGTAATTTGGAGTTTCTCTCTTTTGTCAGCCTTTTTATTTCTCCCTCAAGATGACAGTTAAGTTCAAAGTCCATCTCCCAAGCAGTAAACTAAGCATTTTTAATTTACTTTTTAAACGGAATACCATTTTCACAGTATGATCTTTTCAGTAGCACAGTTACAATTTGTTGACAACCAATGTTGTAAATTTAAATTTACCTTATTTTACATAGAGCATGCATTTCACATTGGCATGCACCACATTAGTGTAAGACCTAACTGGGTTCACACAATCAAGGCTCTGTACACAATTTGCTACAGGAATTTGTACAGCTCTCAAAGACCTCTGGGTTTGAAGATGATTTGGTACCCGACTCCAGTAGATTATGCAAAGTGGGGTAAAAACTCAGCAAAGGTTAGGAAAAGGAGTACTGGCAGAGGAGCAGATGGCTAAGGATTAAGACAGTAGCTCTCCAATACTGGTGGTGGGACACCACATTTCAGTGGTAACTGGGGCTGGAGCCCAAAAGGAAAAGTATCATTCACCTAAGACTCCAGTGAGACTTGAGATCAGGACCTCTGTTATTTTTGACATGATGTAATTTCCTGGATTAAAATTTGCCTTTGCACCTAGTTTCAGGCCTAAAAAGCATTTCCATGAGTCCCGAGTCCTTGAAAGATTCTTGCAAACTTTTGTTCCAAGGATAGTTCTCAACAACAAATGAGAACTAAAATAATTAGCAAACAATAAGTAGCAAGTTAAAAAAAACGTAGTTAAAATTTTAAAAAAGGAAAAGAAGTCCTTACAAAGTAGTGTTTCTCAAGAAAGGTATCTCAAAAGACAAGTGTTAATCAAATAGTTTAATGAGTTATGAAAAGTCCATCAGTCCTGTTACAGGTGAACTTTGAGGACACTGCAAGAACAGAAGGCAGAGAAGCAAATTAGCCAAATGCTAATGTATTCCAAATGATGAAAATACCCAAACTGTCCTACAGGAGTAAATATCAGATGGCAATTGCATGCTTGTGAACAGCCCAGTAGCCAGGAACACAACACATTATAACAAGACAAAACTTTAAATTGCTAACCTTTCCAAAAGAAAGCAAACTTTGCACTTTCGACTGCAAAGTAATAAAAAGCCTACAAATTCTTGAAAAAGCAAATATTAAACTGTGAATTTTCACTCGGTGAAAAAATAAGCCCATTATGATTTTTGAAGGCAAAAAATCATTTCCCCATGCGAACATTGATGATTATAATGCTATTAAAATGCTTGTGCTTTTAATAATATTTTACTACTACAGCATGTAACTTACTTTCTCTTGTTCTGCTGGAGGATATTTGAAGAATCAAGCTCAAAAACACATTAACAGCTCTTGAACGAGATGAAGAATACCTGCTTGGTTTTACAACTTATAATTTGGTTCCTATCAATTAAATATCTGATATTTAATTGGAAGCTTTATATACAGTAGTAGTCTTTGTTTAACAGCATTCCACTGCAGATAGTAACACAGAAACAGCAACAAAAATCTGTTAACTGCTCTATACAGAGCTCTCAAGTAATGAAAGATATCTATTGCAACAGCATTTTCCAGTTACTGGCAAACATAGGCCCTGCTTCTTCCGTTCTTTTGCACTGTTATTGCAGATTTCTAGTGCTTAACACAGAACAAGCTGGTGAAAAAATAAAGGAGCAAGTGTAATGTAAGCACATGAAGCTTTTACACAGCTGAAATTTAGGAAAAGCCACAGGACTTCCAACTCTGGTAACAGAATAAGGATATGTGCAAAAACCATAAAAGGAAGATTGCATTCACAATTAGATGCGACACCATCTAAAAGCTTCACAAAAAAGATCTTAATTTTGCAACTTTCCTGTACCTGAAGAAACTTCCCTAATTCCTGCTACTTTTAGCTGGTACAGACAGGAAATAGGTCATTAGAGACTGAGAGTCATTTGCTTATTTAATTTGGAATTTCTTTATAAGTATTGATTCAAGCTTTCTTGAATTTCTGCTGATATATTTTTTCTGTTTGATCAATTTCTGTTGATATATACAAATTGCTAAACATTATGTTTGTTGAATTTATTTTCTTCAAAGGACAATAATGAAAGAAACAAAGGGATATTATCAAACAGTTAAAATATTTTTGATGAGAGTACAACTTGCTACTCATTTTTTCCCTTTCCACATTTACATTTCCATGAAAACAACTGTGCTGGTTGTGCATTAATTGATATTTGGTGACCAGGGAAGAAGCCACTCACAGAAGTAATCTTTCTTAGAGAAGCTGCTAAGAGCTCCCTCTGTGCCTGGCAAAAACCAATAGCTGGCTAGCTCTGAGAACCGACAACCTATTAAACCCTTTAGAAGTTGGGTCTGCCTCTGTGAAATTCACATTTTAAAGACAGGCAAGTCCAGGAAAGCTCTCTTCCTTCAGGCTTTGAAGAGGTGTGGACTGACCCCACTCTGCCACAGCCTGTGTGGCCCCAGCGGCTGCCGGGCAGAGGGAGGAGAAGCCATCAGCCCGCAGCTGAAACTGAGGGAAGCAGGGGCTGGAGATCAGTCATGCAGCCAGAGCAGCCACCACCCTTGTGGTCAGGCCCCTGGGATCTTGGCACAGCCCCCAGCACAGCCTGAAATCCACCACCGTGACTGCTTCGGCCACTGCCCAGCAGAAACCATCACACTGCCCAGCAGAAACCATCATGACCATCCTCAGGCCCCAGGTGAGGTATTAACTCTTTCACAGCACAGATGAAATTTGTGATTATGAAAACATTGATCCTCTCTAGAGTTAAAGACAGAGTGAAGACACATAGAGGACAACATGAAGACACCAAGGTCACCAAAGACGGAGTCAAGTCCCAGATGGGAGGAGAATGAGGAGATGCATTAGTACTGGGCTGAAAGCTCTTTTGGCAGTACCATGGAGATGAACAATGATACACCGAAATATCCCCTTTACTTCATGAAAAAGGTTTGGAGGGCTGGAGTGTTCAAACTGTAGACATGAGCAGAGGCCTCCACAATGAAGCAAAGCTGATGTTGAGGTAGCTGTGATCCCATGAGAAGCTTTAACAGAGATGACCATGATGATGAACCTTTGCCCCCAGGGAAAGACCTCTGTTCCCAGAGATGATCGCAGAGACAGATGAAGAGAACCTTTGTTTCTGAGCAGCTCACCCTTAAAACAGTACCCCATAATGTGACATGGCCCATTAACTCAGCTGCAGGTCAGCTGTGAAAATGGGAGAAATTTCACAATTGCAGATTTTTCCTAAGCAACTGCTATTTGTGAAAATTCAAATGCATGAAAAAACCATTTCTTGTGGAAAAGTCTCCATGGCATGCAAGAGAAACTTTTCTCCCTACAAGAACTGATGAAAGACTATTTGTAGGGGTGGTAACTGATTTAAAATCCCAGGTTTTGTCTCTACATTGTGAGTTGGGAAAGAAGTGAGCAGAGGGTGAAGTGTTCTGTATGAGGTGCCTCAGGGAAGCAAAGATTTAGTTTCAGATAAACATTGTTAAAGTGAGAGGCATGGCTGTAAAGCCCAGCTAGTGTGAATTCTGAACTTCTGCCTCGGGGCCTGAGCCCTGTGAGCCCAGGGAGTTCTGATTGGGTTTGAGCCCCTGGGGTTTCTCCCTTGTTGTGTTCCTAGTGGTCCCTGACCCTGAACTCCACCCTGGTTCTGTCCCTCAAAACCCATCACCCTGCCTCTGTTCTGGGCTCTCTGTCTCTGGATCTGAGTTTGTTCTTGTGCTGAATAAATGGTTTCCTGAGCAGAAGCCCATCTTGTTGGTGTCCCATGCTAGTTCCTGGTAACTATAGCTTCTCTGGATGTGATCCTGTGGCTGTGGAATGCAACAGTTCTGAAGGCTTTATTCTGATTCTTCTTATTTTAGTTCTGTTAATAAAGTTTTCTTTATACTTTTTAAGTTCTGAGCCTGCTTTGTCTTCCTCCTAACTCATATCTCACGGCAGCAAGTGAGTAAATAATTCAAGTAGGTGCGCTGGTGATTTTAGCCAGTGCTAAACCCACTACATTATTTGGTGCATTGGCTGGGAAACTCCAATTGGTGAACCTAAACCACTACAACAATACAAGTCAGATTTAGAAAAAAAAAGCTGTAACAGAATGCAAGAAAAAGAAGTCATTTACATGAAAGCCACAAGTAATGAAGATGACCTAGCAAGAAGTGAAACAGAGAAACTGCCTTTTTTTTTATGAAGTCTTTTCTGTTCTCAGGGCAAACAAATTCACCTACTTAAATCCAGATTATAATTAATGATTACAAACAGTGCTTGCTTATCAATACAGTTTTCACTATTTTTTTACAGTTGCACCTTGAGCCTCTCTGGTGGCTGACTTGTTGCTGAAACACAGTTTTCTGAAGTTTTGAAAACTTTCATTTATAATTATTTACACACAGGTAACAAAGAAAATGACCTAAGGCTCTAAGATTTACTTAGTAAAAAGGACTTGTGACTGTTTACAGTTGTAAAAATATCATATTTGGTCTACTTACTGAGCACTGGACTTCAAGATTAACATAAAACCTTTATTCTCCTAAATTTCTCCTATCCCTTTATTTTTTAATCATCCAAACAGCTTTTCTGTTTTGTTTTCTTTCTGTTAATGCTAGCACACAGCTGAACCATGGAGCTAAAGTTCTCAGATAGCACCCAGCTATGCAGAATTTTTGAAAGGGAGAAGAAAATCCCCAATACTTAAAACATCCTATCTTATCTTATCATCCTGCCCAGTTTGGAGAAGTCTGAAATCCTCAATGATCAGGATACAGATTCAAGAAAAAGGGGCACCTCAATCACTGTTTGTCAAAGGAAGCAATTTGCTCTACAACTATGACCAACATAATTTCTTCTTGATTTACTGCCAGTTACTGAAACCATCCTAACTGACATGGGAAAATAGGCTAAGTATCTTCAAATACCCACTAGCTAAAAATTGGTAAATTCTGATTTTTCCTATTTTGTAGTTTTATTCATTTATTTCCTCTTCTTGAATTTTCACCAGCTCAAATAATTTCCATATAAGAATTTACCCAATCTACTGCATCAAAGTATCATAAATACATCTCAACAGCAGCTTTGAAACATCTTGCGACACAGAACAACCTTACTGAAATACAGAAGCATTATTCCTGCCTACATCTTGAAGATAAAGAACATTTTAAGTATTTTTCAATAGTAAATAGCTTGTGAGATAGTCCTTAAACAAACACCCAAAGTGAAAAATCACAACATATAATTTCTCCAGGAATCAAAATCCTAGGGTATTTTTTATGGCTTATTTAATCAGCAAGTCTGTCTTCTAATTCTATTTAGAAGTTCACTGGCAAATTATCAATCACTTAACAGACACTACTCTACATAAATAGACCACAAAACTACATAAAGAGACAAAATATTTAGTATATTTAGTATTTTTTAAATTTTTCTATCTGATTTTCTAAACACCCAACAGAGGTCAATGTCCAAAATAAGAAAAATAATTTTTAAAGCAAACTAATGCTGACCGCATTCAGAGATTATGTAGGCAACAAATATCACAGAGGGGTATATTAATAATGGACTCCAAAAGAACCTTAGAAGAAACAGCATCAAAGGGTATTAAAACTGTATTACAAGGGAAAAAATGAAACATAATGTTGTATTCACTCCATTTTCTAGTATACTTGTATGACGAAAAGTCATCAAAGAAAATTATGCAATAACTTCAGAGCTTTTTTTGAATCAAAGACAGGATCAGAAAACAGGTCTCTGCTAAGGAAAAATACTGACCAGAATGTGAAAGAAGTTGGATTAGTGTTAGTACCTTTCCCATCTATTTGTTCTTATTCAGGAGGTTTAGATAAACTAACCAAACCAGTAGCTAGGAGGTTACTTTAATCTGGTGCATTGTCTCTTACTGTCTCTGAGGTTTATTAAGTGTATCCCAAACCTGTGAACCACCTGTAATCAGGTCAGTATTAAAAATATAAAAGCTTATTAGTCTTCTAGAAACAAATCAGCCTCACTAAATTTGATGCATTGTGCGTTATAAATAGTAACTTTCTTTTTCCTTTCAGTACTTCCATAGAAATTGTCAAACAGGTGAACTCCTGACAAACAAATGGTCTTTAAATAGCAGAGAAGCATTTTAAGAAAAGGTTAACAAGTGCTGTCTTTTACAAAACTTACAGATGCCAAGGTAAGAGCAAGAAACCAGAAGCCTCTGTTCTTGAAACTACATTCTGTAGCACCTCTTATACAGAGTACATTGAACAGGCGAGTGTCAGTGCTGCTTTAGCTGGGGCAGGAATGAAGGACCAGAATGAGAGTTGAAGAGAAGGGATAAATCTCACCTGAACTGAAAGTACACTTAAACAATTCACTGACCTAAGTGGGAGGGGTTTACTGCTTTAGCTCACACAAAGACAGTTAACCTAAATCATACCACTTCTGTTGCAGGACACAAGCATAAATGTTTAATTACCATAACTCAGCTGATGGCTGATACGCCACAATGAACCCAGCTATGTGCCCAAGACACAATGTCGCAAAGTGACAAAGTCATGTCTGTAAGTTTACTGCTTGCTAGTAGTCAAATCACCTCCAGTCTTGTCTCCTCCATCTGCCTCCTCGTCAGTATCAGAATCAGCTCCAATCTTGCCTAGATATACACAGTTTCAAACATGAAAATTTAGGAAAGGGATATAATTAATACTACATAATTAGGTTTACTCTTAATAATTAACTCTATTGCAATCAGCAGAAGAGGATTTTTCCCAGTTAAAGCAGAAGTTCTAAAATTAGACTTAGTTAAAACCAAAACCCTTATTTGTGAGTCTTCTGTTAGCTACACATACATTTATACTGGATTACAAAAAATCTGATTAGCTATTCTTACTACAATATTATGAGTGCTAAAAATAAAGTACAGATTAACAGCAAGATACTCTGAAGCACTCAGATGCAAAGAGTTTATCTTCATTGACAAAACAGCAATATGTTTAAAAAGAAGTTCTATATCCCTTAAATATCAAGTGCAAGTTCAATAAAGCCATGAAAAACTGGAATGTCATATCCTTAATCAAAGTACATGAACTGTGTGCCTTGCTGGAACTGGGGGATTATATACACATTAATATATACTTCCTAGTGTGTGTTTGCATATATACATATATATTTAAGTTGCTAGAAAAAAATGCAAATTCAGCTGAGGCAGACTTTCTCTTGAGTACAGTGGAGTCTCAAAGTTTCATTCATACCTTCAAGTATCTTCAATAGTTTTTTTTCAGATAACAGCTCCAACTGCTCCATGCAAAGTCTTTTGATTTCGTCCATGGAACAGCTCTAAGAAGACAGATAAGACAGACCAGAAGCTACTAAAAATTTCTGAGAAGAGAGTAATTAAAAATGTAAGGAGTAGTCCAACTGTAATTAAGAGTTAACTTGGATTAAAGCCTCTCCCATATTCTGATCTGCATTAATGCAACTGCTATAGAAAACCAGGTCTTTCAGTTTTAACAACCACAAGAAATAGCATATGTGTGGGTGCTGTCTGAAAAATTAAGCAATCCAGACTATCAGTTATTTGACCTATGGCTTGGAGTTTTTACTGCAGCTGCAACACTGAGCACCAGAAACACCAGAGCATATGTGTGAAGCATGGAACAGCACAGACCTGGTTATTCTTAATTTTCCACCACTTAGGGGAAGACGCTTAATGTAATTAAGCTTGTAAAGACCAGAGGCAACTGTTGAATCTACGTCCACAAACTGGAGAAAATAATGCTATTGACAACACACCAACAATCGCATATCACAACACAGAAATAAAATAGAAATAAAGAAAATAAAGGACGTATGTAAACTGCAATCCATTTCTCATGCTCGGTACATACCGTACATTGCCACGTTATTTTACTTGTATTCCAGTTACTTTCACATCTCATACTTCCTGGTGACATTTGATAATTTCACATGTTCAAATGAGCTATGATACCACATACATGTACCAAAATTAGGAGGTGCTAAACAGGTTGGAACACTCACAGTCCTACTGTAAGTTTGATTCTACACTATCAGGCAATTTCCCTACAAACTCAGTAATGTCTTTCCTTGCAGCTTCTCAACTTCCTTTTCTTCTACCAGAGATGAGAAATGGACAAGCCTGTGTGCAATGTACCATGTGTTTAAATGAAGAAGTCCTGTTTCACTTGTACTAATAATACAACTCCCTAAGATAAAAATTTATGACAGAAAATTTACAACTACTAACAAACATTAAACGGATGACATTTCACTTGCAGCCTATTCTTCTGTACAGGCTGCTAGCCTAATTTATTTTTACTAAATCCTACTGTTCATAAAACAAAAGGTGTATGTTCTAAGCCAGTAAAACTCCAGCTTCAATCCACAGGAGTTACAGCTTCAGAAGCTGTTTATGAAGAATGGACTTTATTTTATGTCAGACATTGCTTTAATACCATACAAAGAAAATAAGCTGCCACAAACAGAAATCAGTATTTTATTTACAAATCAGCATATTGATTATTGAACAACACTACTGAATTTACTCCTCACAATCATTAAAATCCTTCTGCATTTAACTAACCAGTACAGTGACAGTCTAAAGCTAAACCTGAAGTTCAGAAGTGGCTGAGCAGTAGCAAAAGGAGTAACCTGAAATAACTACAGCAAATCTTTAAGAAGTCTCACTTCCAGACACATGATTGGGAGTTACTTAAGAAAGGTACTTGACTTTGTAGAAACTTCTTTAGTTGAGAAACGAACAGGCAATTTTAAAATGTAATGCACTAGGCTTCAGAGATAACTATTCTTTGTTACACAAGCATTCAAGGTCATGGTAAGTATATAAATAGTAAGTCTATTTCAGTACCTTTAAAGTATCAGGCAGCATCTTCTGTAGTTTCTTCTCCCCTATGACACAGAAACACTGTTGAAGCATTTCCTTTTTGTCCCCAATGTAGAAACTGACAGGTTTGAGTGACACAGTGAGATCTAATCCTCCTTCTTCTATATCACTGGGTTGTTCAGCCTCTTCCACTTTTTCTCCAGAGAGTACACTGCATTTTGTTTCCTAAAATCAAGGAAGGCACATTTTCTAGTGAATTAGAGAAGACAGAAACTTACAGCTCTACCTGTGCTTGCAATAATTTTCCCTTCATAAATGCAAGATACGTCTTAATGTGGACTTTTCAAGTTCCAGTGTTTCATATTGCAAGGTAACTGCAATACAGAAGTTACATTTTTTTAATAAATGACAACATTCTTGTGCCAGGAAAATTTTTTAAAGCTTCAAAAAGTGAAAAGTACTTATAGATACTAAGTGGGAAATACCATCTTTAAATACTTCGGTGATGCTTACACATGAAAGCATACTTTAAATCAGAAGAAATCCATCTGATTGGCTGGGCAATTAAATCATAAAGCCCATCATTTACAATTATCCCGCTAAAACAGAATTTGGCATACAATTCTGTGTGTGGCACAGTCTTCATAGAATTAAAATGAGCTTCGCATTAGAAAATATGTCCTCCATACATCAGTGGAAGACCTCTAGAATTAAAAAAAAAAAAGTAAAAAACACAAAAAAACCACCCACCAACAAAAACACCACGACTGGGACCACCTGAACTTGAAAGCCACATCTCTTACACCTGGAAAACACCTCCCGGTGTTCCCGGCTCGGCCTGCCCCCGCGGTGCCCGTGCCAGCGCTGTCCCTCTCTCTCCCTCCAGCCGCACACCGAGCATTGCGACTGGACCCGGCGCTTCCCGCAGCCAGCCCACGGCAGGGACCGCAGCCAGGCCTCTGCCGCCAGGACGCCGCGGGATCGGGACGAGCCCGGGAAGGCAGCGGCGGCACGGCACCGGCCAGACACCGCGACTCCGCCCGCGCTACCTCCAGGGCACCGTGGCTGGACTCGGTGCTCCGCCGCTTCCTGTCGCTGCCGTCCGGCCCCGGAGCTCCCTCCGGGCAGCAGGAACGCGAGCGGCGCCGCTTCTTCTC